CACAGAGTGTTTCTAAATTGCAGTGCTCTTCCCACTAGAACAATGCCTTTCAAATGTTGACTGCACACATAGTAAAAAATACCTTCTGTAGCATTACTCCGTACAGATGCCCTATTTCTGACCATTTCTATTTAATTCTATTCTATTCTCACATTTTCAAAATGTTGATCTTAACACACTAAATTGGTTTTATTTTTCAACCTTTTCAAAAGGTTGAAAAATATTACTGAAGGAGATACAGTTTTAAAATTTTCTCTAGAATTTCAAGGTCAGCTACAATTCCTGAAAATTAATTCTCATACAATGAATTTGTATCCTAACAGAAAAAGGGCACTATCAAATAATCAAATAACCCTCAGAGACTAATATACAGCCCTGGCAGCTGCCACTTGGGGAGTAAAAGGAAAATAAACCAATCTCCATCAGCTTCCCTAAAGCTTCCCTAAGAAATACTCAATTTAAGAAAAACAGCATTTGCTAAATAAAAACAGCTTTGGCAACAAGTCCTCTGGCACTTCTGCTCCCCTTCTCGCCAGACCCTGCCCCTTAAGACTCTCAGCCTCTGTGGAAAGCCTAGAACTTCTACTTGCAATAAATATTTTAAAAATATTTCATGTATAGAGACTTTAAATGTGTTTAGATGATAATTACTTCATTAAAATAAGTAAATGAATACCAAGATAAACTATTTTTTTTTCTTGAGACAGATTCTTACTATGTCACCCTCAGTAAAGGGCCGTGGCGTCACAGCTCACAGCAACCTCAAACTCTTGGACTTAAGCGATTCTCCTGCCTCAGCCTCCCAAGTAGCTGGGACTACAGGCGCCCAGCACAAGGCCTTGCTATTTTTTGTTGCAGTTGTTATTGTTGTTTTAGCAGGCCTGGGACGGGCTTGAACCTACCAGCCTGGGTATATGTGGCCGGCAAACTACCCACTGAGCTATGGGTGCCACCCAAGGTAAACTATTTTAAATAAAAACATTATGTTTGATAAAAATCTCTCTCTGAAATTTGCGATCCTTCACTGAAATTGTGTGTGTTTATGTGTACATGTGTGTATGTTGGAGGAAGGGGGAATGTACTGATTTATTTCAAATCCAAATAAAGCATAAAGCATGCAGAAGTTAGATCAGTAGTTAAGCTATATCCCTTTTGGTTTCCCCTTGAAATAGTAGGGCAAAGGCAATGTAAAACTTTTCCTCAATATGAGATGTTTGTACAGTTCCCACCAAAGGAAATGTGGTAACAACCATCACTCCATAGTATCATGCTAAGTATGAAGAAACACCAATGTCTCCAGAGTTCTTTTAAGAAATATATTCCTCTGACAAAATTTAAAGTCAGGAACAAGCAGAGAGACCACAAAATCCTTTTTCTATCCTCTGTGTCCACAGCAGTTCTCCAGCTCTACAAATGCAAACTCAAGTACAAGAATGTTCATTGAAGCTCCTGGGCTAACTAGCCTCACCATTCCCCATGCAAGAAGCATGTCTGAATTTAAAGAACTCAATTTTGTGATGTTTGCCTCAAAT